TTTAACTGTTTTGAGACTAATGGCACCGTTTAAATCACGAAATATTTTAGTCGGACCATCACCATTTTCATACTTTGAAAGTACAAGATTCCGAATATCTTTACTTTTCATTATCTATAAATATACTGAACGACAAAAAAAATACTGTGTCTACAAGAAAAAGAAGTACACAGTTTTGTAGAGAATTGAAAACTGAATCTTTTAAAACAAAATTTAGCCCGAAAGGATAAGAATCAAAAAAGATATTGAGAAAATACTAAGAGGATATTTTTTATGGGACACCCGTTAGTTGTTCGCCCACCGCCTGCAACTCGTTCACTTCGTCGATTACCACGACGACAACGAATAATTGTACAACACCAACAAGAAAAAGAGAAGAAAAAGGGTCGTTGGCGTTATTGGGGTAAAGTAACAAAAATTCTGTCAGCTATTCTGGTACCAACGATGATTGCAGCATTTACAATTGTCACAACTATTCAACAACGGCGCATAAGTGAAGCAAATCGTGAAAAAGATATTCAAATTGCGGATTATCAACTAAAACAAGCAACACAACTGAATGAACAAAATCGTTTAAAAGACATGGAAATAGCTAATATTAAAGTAACTCTCGAACGACAAATAGCGGAAGAAAACAGAGAAAAAGATTTACAAATAGCGAACATTACAGGTCAGTAAAAGAAGAAAATAAGGTTCTGAAAGAAAAAGAATTTGATTTGAAGTTATTTTATATAACGAGGTCGCAGAAATAATTGCGCTGTTAGCAATTAAAATTTTTCTCCCTCCTTAGACTCAATCGAACTGAGTCTACTACCAAAAGATTTCCGGTTCAATTCTCTACAAAATGGTGTGAAAAGAACAAGCCGAAACTTTGAGATGTTGTTTCAGCTAAACAAAATGTGAATTTTTCGACTTACGTGTTAGGGCTATTAGCAGAATGATCATGTTTCGGACAAAAGTAAACCGATTAAGCTCGCTCAGGTATCATTTGGAAAAGAACATTTTTTCACAATCCAAATAGTATGAAAGAATTTTGTTTTGAAGAAAAACGAGACTATCACATTGACATTTCACTGATTTATTACGGCCAGTAGTGATTAGCCATTCTTACCGGATTAATGCAAGAAGGGGAAATGAAATCTGTGCTGTCAGATAAAGAACATCTAAATGTGTGAAAAAGCAACTTAGGATATGACTTGTATCCCTCTTTTAGCATAGATTTCAAATTAAAAAAACTTAATAGAAAACGATTACATTTTTCTCGTTTTCGAGGTACATCACATTTGTTCAGCTGAATCAACATCTCAAAGTTCCGGCTTGTCCTTTCCACATCATTTTGTAGAGAATTGAACGGGAAATCTTTTGATAGTAGAATCAGTTGATCGGCTCTAAGTAATAGGAGAAACATTTAAATTACTAGTAGCGGAAATATTTCTGCTCTACCCGTTATATCAAAGCTAAACTGTACATAAAAACAAAATTCAGTTGCGATTCGATCCTGTGTCGTTAGGAAGACAACGCGTGGATGGAACAGGGCAGTATCTGTTTAACCATGTTTTTTGTTGACTAACGAGAGAACCTCGCGAGATGATATTTCGCTACTTGATGGAAATCTAGTGGGTTATAGGTTATCGAGCATGCTGGTCCCAAATATGATCATGAGAGTTGTCCAATGCCCTTCAGAGACCGGATCTTCTGGAAAATCGGTTTTTTAGAAACTCTAGAAAATAACCCAAACCTTTTTTAACAATACAGGGTTGTAGCAAATTTCTGATTAAAATGAGACATCCCCGAGCTTTACACGACCTTTGTTTGTAAAGTTATAGAATTTACAAAAAGAGCCCTTAATTATCTATTGTCAATTCAGAGCTACAGAGATAATTAATTTAGGGCTCTTCTTATAAATTCTATAACTTTGCAAAGAAAGGTCGTACAGAAGACCGAATCTTTGAAGGGCATTGGGCAACCCTCGTGGTCATATTCGAAATCAGTATGGTCGATAACCCACCCGATTTCCATCAAAAAGCGAAATATCATCTCGCGAGGTTCCCTCGTAAGTGCTAGAAATAGATATTCAGGTAGATTATAGTAAATGTCAACTTTTAAACATATAGTAAATTGTATTGTTGTTGTTAGCATTTGTTTATTTAGTTGATCTGCTGCCTGATTTTTCACATTGTCTCCCTTCTCAGAATACATAGGATCAATGAGTCAAAGATTACTGTATCATGTACTACAGATCAATTCGATATATGAGAACCTCATTACGGCATCGTGAAAAAAGTGTATATTGGGCTAATTTTACTGGTCTATACCAAAGTCTTATTCTTTCTTTCTTATTACAGGTGCTTTGGAAAGACAAATAGCTGAACAAAATCGTGAGAAAGATATCCAAATAGCGAACATTAAAGCGGCACTGGAACGACAAATTGCTCATGATAATCGTGAAAAGGACATTCAAATAGCACATATTAAAGCAGCACTAGAACGACAAATTGCTTATGATAATCGGGAAAAAGATTTACAATTAGCTGATGATATTGAAAAATCAACAATATTTAATTCATATTTACAAGATATATCTAATTTATTATTAAAAAATGGTTTAATTATTTATGATCTCGGTTCCTTGGTCATGGCTCGTGCTAAAACATTAATGATTTTAAGACAAATCGATTCAAAACGAAAAAGATATCTGATACAGTTTTTATATGAATCATCAATTATTGTTTCAAGCGCACTGGCCGATTATCAACAAATTTTATCGTCATCGTATGCGCCAAATGAGTGTCAACTGCCGCCAATTGTTCCAAATGAAATGGTTAATGTAGGTGAAACAATGATTAGTAGCAATCAAACATTGGATATGCACGGTGCAGATTTAAGTAATTTAGCATTTCACTCACATTCGAAACAAATGCTATCGGGTATTAAATTAGCCGGTGCCGATTTTCTCAATGCTTCATTCATTCGTATCACACTCAAATGGTCTGATTTTAGTCGTTCATCACTTCTAAACGTTTCCTACATCAATAGCAATCTATCTTATTCATTATTTCGTTCGGCTTCCGTAGTCGATTCATTATTCAAAAACTCGGATGTCCGTCGTTCAAAATTTCAT